AGTGACTAAAACTAAAGAATCTGAAACAAAAGTAAAACAAATGTCTAAAAACAACAGTCCTACACGGTACACAAATCCTAGTCTTCTAGGTTAAATCCAGCAGCTAACCTTCAAATGCTGACTTCTGTCACTATGTCTGATCTACGTCTCCCAGGAGGTGGAGGAGGGCAGCTACCAGCCATATCGATAGAAATAAAAACTAATGATAACAGCCATTTAAAAGGACTGATGACATTCAGCAGGTCAAAGCAGGATGTTTTCTTTCTCAACTAATTTACTAATCTTTACTAACAAACTCTTGAAATACGTTGAAGTACCTTACAATACACTGTAAATCCTCCTGATCCATAGAAAAAGACTGAGCTGTTTTATCATTTACCATTATGGATGGTAGACCTCTGCTGGTTGTGGCCACAGCACCAGTGGCCAGCTCAGGCCTGCACCACTGCAGCTAGATGGATAACAAACAGAGCTCGTTAACGGAGCTATTTAAACGAGCTCTAACCTCTGCTACTTGGTTATATAACTGAACTGAACCTGAATTCTAACTGTATATGTGGATAAAGAAAATGCACAATACATTGCAAAGGAGCACAAATTCCAGCGCCAAGCTAATTCAAACTTTATTTAGAGGGAACATAAAAGTCTTCCTGTTAACATTCTCACACTGTGACTCTTCATGGCCCCTTACATCATCTCTGCATTTCATTTTACAATGAAAGACAGCGTAGCTCCCGCATGCATTCTTTTACTTTATATACTTCACATCATCCATTGTGAACAAGACATTCCTTCTGCCTTTTGAGTTCTTGCTCCGGTGCCGTATTGCAGCTCTGCATGCTGGAGAAAAAGAATCATATCTAATGACGGCGCTCAGCATAAGTAGAACTTAAGATATGTTCCGATGTGACAACTCACCATGGGAACCGAGAGAAATTCTCCTTTAACAGCACTTATGCAATGAATGCGCAGCGAGAAAATGTAGAAGAATGACTGTGATTTCCCATGTTATCTTCCTCCACAGCACAGAGGCCGGTACATGAAGGCAACTCGGGAAATGTGGTAGGAAATAATTCTTTGAAAAATGAAGCAGAGCCTGTTCATATCAAGAGGCAGCTGTACGTCTGAACCGCAGCGCCGTGCGAGATGAAAAAGTCACTGACTTTGGTCCGTGGGATTCCAAAAATGTAAGAGAAATGGAGCAATAAATGTTATAGGGCACACTCTAAAGGGATATTGTTTGAGCCGTATCCACTTTCACTCCCTCTCTGCTTATCACATCGCATTATGTCAGTCTGGAAAATCAGTCAGTGTGAGAGCGCAAATAACGCAGAGTGTGTGAAGCGCAGGCCGGCTACATGTTTAAGTATCGGTGCTATAAGAAAGTAAGCACAGTATGTCAGCATTGCTCATAGACGTCAACAGCATGCTGCAAACGGCGCTACAGCACAACACAGCGAGGACTGTGTTTCCTCCAACACAAACACTCACACAGATGGAAGTCATAGCAGCACAGTGCAGATGTTACTGCAGAGTCAAAGTTAAGCCGAAAGCCGCTAAAGCTGGAAACAATCCGTGTTTAATCTAAGAATAAAGCAAATAGACAACAAAACAAACATACAAACTGGTGCCAGGAATGTAAGTTCAAGAAAACTTTCAGAGTTCTGTAGCAATGTTGGATGATGTACAGCAAAACAGTGCATCTGTCAAAAAGCAGGCAGAGCTCATATTCCTACCATGTTTTAAGTCTAATTAATTAGTCAGTTATCCCAAAACCAATGACAGATAATTCAGCAGTTTATCAACTCTTTAAAACCAGCAGTTGACTATGCTGTATACCTACGTACTACTAGCATATCTGGCACCCAGTACCTTTACAATTCACATGTTTTCACCAACAAACACCAAGTGATCAATCCCATCTCATGACTCAGGTGGACCAATTCCATTCCAGCAAATTATATCCCATCACATCCAGCATTGTTTCTACTCATCCCGTCCCTACCATCACACAAACGTATCGAACATTCTTTACTCCTATTGGCTATGCTTCATTCTCTACTGAAGACCTCCCTTGTGGAGTGCCACCAGGCTCACTTCTAGGTCCACTGTTGTTTTATTTTTACCAGCTCTTGTGGACATAATCTGCAAACACAATAATGTTCCTACCTAAACAGTTGACACCTGTTAACATCAGATGTCAGGTAAAGTGCTGGAAGTCTAGATCTCTGCACCTTATGGTAATGGTTTTTATCCTTTGGCTGAAAATATGAGGATAATGTTCTCTCCTCAGCTGATCTGCAGAAAGTTATCCATGCCTTTGTTTCACTCCATTTCAACTAACTTCAGTATTTATAAAGTGTACTTTGTCCAAACTGCATTAAAATCTCAACAAATCCAGGGACCTCATCACCTCGTCTTAGCCTCCCTGCACTGGCTGCCAGTTGGTGTCAGAACTGATTTCACAATTTCACATTAGCAACTAAATTCGGTCATGCCACAAAACATCTGAGCAAACTAGTGACCCCTGCACCTCTAGTTTGCAGCATTTCCACCTTGGCAAGAGTCTCAGGGCTAATTCTAGTTCCAGGGCTAGTATCTAGAGATGACAGAGCCTTTGCCATTGAATATTCATCTTGTTCCAGCGAGTTCTATCAGCTCCTACCTACTTCATGCACATGCGATGCTTCCTCATTCGACTGTACAATTTCCTGTCCCATTCAAATTTATTCAGTCTCATCCGAATGCATCTCATCATTCCCCCATCCAATATTATTCATGGATCCATCCATCCATCACTTCAACACTATACAGTTTTTTTTCTGTACTCAGCTTGCCAACGTACACCAAAACCCTTCTTAAATGCACACTTCAAAAGAAATGTTGTCTCCTTTTCCATGTTCTGCAAACTCATCATTTCTCAAAGCCAAACACTTCCAGCCATCCAGCGTGTCCTACCTGTGACTTTGAGTTGTGTTGTCCGTCGCACCAGCCTGGATCCATACTGTAATTCACAGGTGTAATTCCCTCCGTCGCCCTCCTCTATCTCAGGAATCCAAATATGTGTGGTGTTAACGTTGATGGAGCTTCTCCATTCAACTCGCTCACACTCCTGACAGGAGATACGGGCACAATTGATGCGGTTACAGCGGCCTACGGAAGACTTGTCCAAACTTTTTTTGTCTTTGTGTTTGTGTCTTCTTACCTTATACCAGGTCATCTGCGGCTGTTTGTACGGAGCCAGATAGTCTTCTATATCGGGGCAGTTGATCATTTTGCTGTGGGTTATCTCGGCTTTCTCCAAATGGCGGATTTTGCTGCTGAAGCATTTCCCCTCGTCGCTCTCCTCCACCGTCATTGACATGGACACCTTCATGCAGTACGTCGAGTTCCTGAGCAAAGAAAACACAGGAAAAATGTTTTTGACGTTGCCCTTTATTGACACTGAAATGCATTAAAACTTCAGTCTCGGAGTTCTTGGGATAAGAAGCACACAGAAAACCTAAAGGTGCAGGTCTATATATGCAGTCGGTATTTCTAAGGAAGGTCAAGCATCCTCGAATCAATCTGAGTGGGTTTGTTTTGAGCAGATTTGTTTATCCAGCCAATAGTTAACTGCAGCAGTGACATGAGTCATTCCTCCATTTGTCCAAAAAGCGAGACTCTGTGTGAAACAGTCTGAGAGCTATTTTCATGGTGAGAACACTGGGTAGACTCTTTGGCACTGTTGTGGGTATTCTGGCTAAATTATAGGCTCTCTGACACCACGGCATTTCATTGACATCATTGTAGGAATCGGCATGGAGAAGAAATTACAGGTTGCACATCCTCAAACATACGTAAACAAAACATCATTTTATCAGAAATGAAACTCTGTAAAGAAGCACTTTCAGGCAATGTGGAGGCAAAGAGTTCCTGTTGTTGTGCGTGACGCATTTTGTCCACATTTAGGTCTCGTCAGAGTGCGTCGGTTACAACAGAGAGCAAAATGTTGGCATTTGGTTTATTTAACTTTAAGGAACAACATGTTCGTCTTCGCTATTAGTGGTCTTTCATTGTCAATCAAAGTACAAAAACGAGCTAATTGTGGTTATTTCCTTTATGTAGAAAACTGTCACACCAGTCAACAGACATGACAACTGAGTCTTAGCACAGGGCAGAGCTGCTTTAATTACAGCCTGCAAGTTCATTCTTAATTACAGACGCAACTTATAAAATGCTATTTAATGTCTAGCAGTGGCAGTAGGAGCGTATTCAAGGTGAGCGGTGTGAAGTCTCTCAGATCACAGCGAACATGTTCTGCCATGATATGTAATGGTTGGTAAAAGCATGTTACTAATAACAACAACAATGGTTCTGTTGTGTTCATGTGTCCCAGTGAGCCATGACAGCCATCATTAATTGCATTATTTACATCTTTAAAAAGCCCATTTGGCACAAACTGTCACTGCAAGAGAGAGCTCCTGGAGTTAAAAGACATTGCTTGCTTTGTTGAACTTGAAAAAGCAGCGAGTTCCGGCTTCAGAGCTGCTATAAGCCCTCATTTTGTCACTTTTTGGATAATGTTAGTTGTCAGTTGTAAATGGATATGCTTGCATAGAGTTTGAGAGGCAACGGCAGCTGTCTACCAGAGCCTCAGTGATCGATGATGGGTTTAAGTCTCCAGACATTATAAGACAAATTGTCTAAGATTCCAAACAGTTGAGTTTTTAAATATACTGACCGGCCACCACATTAAAACCACTGAGGTTGGTGTTTTATATTACAATGGATGGTCTCCTGGGAAACCTTGGCATTCAAGGGGATGTTACTTTGATGTTTACCATCCACCTAAACATTGGTGTAGACTGAGCAAACCCCTCATGATAGCGTTACTCCCAGTCTAGCAGGACAATGCAGAAACTGCTCAGGAGCTGCTAAAGGAACACGACAAAGAGCCTAAGGCACTGATGTGGCCTCCACACTCCCCAGATCCCAGTCCAATCAAGCACCCAAGGGATGAACAGGCCTGATCCAAAGAGGCCCCTCCCCTGCAACCCCTTTTAATGCCATGGCTGCACTACCATTGACAGAACTTGGCAAAGACAATGTGCTTTACTGTTTGCTGCAATATGCAAATGACTCTCGTATTGGTACAGTAATCAGTCACACTCATGGGAAAAGTCACACTGATCTAAAAGTTTTGCTTTACAGCAACACCACTTTGGGGTAGCTAGTAGGTAACTGTGACAGAAAAAAAGACTCCTAAATCCCTGAACCACCTCATCACAAAGAGCAGATGCAGATACAAATCTATCTGTGGAGTTGACAAATAAATGGGGACAGATTAGTGGAGGTGTGATGTGAAAGGGGTTTCTCACATGATGAACACTCAGAAAGCTATTTAGCATCTTTCAGACATTTGTTTTGTATTAAGAACACCTTTATCTACCACTTTCATGAACCCTATGAGCCCCAAACTATATTCAGGATCATCTCTCTACCTTTACTTCTAAGATCTTGGTCATGAGAAGGGCTATCCATACATGCTCTGTCTTATTTATTTGATTTCAGAACAGTCTGAGGTATCCAGATCTTCCACCATCTGATGTGATAATACTTTTTATAATAACAATATTTTATATTAGCCTTTATATCAAGGAAATAATCTGCTTTGAATTATGAACGTGTCACCATAAACTGCTGGCAGTAAAGACATCTTTTCATACCTGCAGAGAGGAGATTGTCTGTACGACTTAAAGAAAATATATTTGAATCGAGATGAATGTCATTATTTAAATCACAGAAGTGTCCACAATCATTGAAATGACAGAGACTCGGTGACGACTTCAACCCAGAAGCAGGAATGTGTGAATGGGTGAAGAAATTAATTTAAAAAAAATAGTACTTTTTATAGGTTTCATCTGTCTTCATACCGTTATTATTTCAGCTTGTACAAATATGTAACCAGCATAATTGCAAAACTCGGGTTCTGCTCTTTCTTCTAAAATGATATTAAAATCTAATTGCGTCGACATTAACTGGCGTAGATATTAACATAACTGTGCAATGACGGGTTCATTAGTAAACCAAGCAGGAGTAATGGGCGAGGAGACGTATGCAGGTTGTAAGTATGAGTACGTTTGATGGAAATTCAGAACGATATTTTTTTCGCAGACACTTCGTCAGACAACCAAATAACATTGTTGGAAAAGGTCAAGTCATGCGGCTTCATTTGATATGTGCTACGCCTCACTGCAATAAATACTTCGAGAGCAATTCAAGTGAGAAGAACAGATGTGAATTTAGACAGTGCGTCTGTCAGGCTCTGAGGGTTCACTGTAACCTTTTCCAATAGCAGGATGAAGCTACAGCCGTCCTCAGATTTATTCATACCCTCCCATTAAGAAGGAAAAAAGAAGCTGAAACTGACAGAAGTAATAATAAATTTACAAAAAAAAATATGAAAATCATGGTGTTGCTTTTGAATTGTGGTTCAACAGAAATATTTTTTTTAAAAACAAGCAAACAAGCACGATGGGACCCGAAAACTAATATTTAGTTGAACAACCTTTTGAGCCAATCACTGCAATCAAGTGTTTTCTGTAACTCTCAGTCAGACTTCTGCACCTGTTCACAGGTGTTCTGATTTCACTGCTCATCAGCAAAGTGCTCTCATTTGTTGGGGACAATTTTAACGTTTTTAAAATTTTTCTTTTCAACCACAATTCAAAAGCAACATTTTATTTCACAAAATTATAATTTAGCAAATTTTTATTTATTATTATTTTTTTCAGTTTCTAGTTATTTGAGTGACTATTGTGAGTTTTGCCTTTTCTGTATTGGAAGGGTCTGAATACATTTAGAATAGAATAGAATAGAATAGAATAGAATAGAATAGAACTTTATTGATCCCTTCGGTGTAAACCTCAGGGAAATTGTTGAATGGATGACTGTGTGCCTGTGAACGAGCTCTAAAAACCTCACTGGAAGCAACCAAACGACTCAACAGCCAAACAAACACCCAACAAAGGAAAGAGTTGAACCAACCACCATAAATTGCTGGACCTGGTCAAACACAGTTGAGTTGAGTTTGTCCAAAATAACTTCACAAATAACTTTAGTGCTACTGGTGTAAGTTAGACATGCTTAAATGATTTCATTATTTTCAAAAAACACTCTGCATTTCTGCAGTTTAATTTAAATTAAAGCCAAAGTTTCCAAATTTTAAAATGTAAAACATGATTTTGTCATTGCACTTATACTGTTCTGACCTTTAATTTAATCCGACTGAAAGAAAACAGAAGTTAAGTTGCACTATCGCTGAAATTATACCAGTTTAAAGGAACAAAGTGTAATATTACGTCGGTAGAATCCTGAAAAGTTCATTTCTGCCACCAAATATAAAAGCAAAATAAGCTCAAATACAGTTTCCACAGTGTGTGTCGGTGTTCGGTTCACAGCTGGGTCAACCCAAACCCAATTAACTAAGACACTTCTCTATTTTTGCGCTTTAATGTAATGTTTCTCAACCCAGTCGTGATCCCGGTCTCTTCTGTAAGGTGTTCTCTTGCCCGAGGCTCGTTAATGTAGCTGGTTGGACAAAACCAGAGCCGTTAACCTAGAAGTCAGGTAAACTCCTGCGGACCGCGCTGAGAAAACGGATGTTGCTATTTGTAGTGGCGCTGCGTCGGAGGCTGGATCTCACCCCGCATCCCGCCGTCACCATGACACGTGTGACGGAGCGTCCTTGAGCCGAATTATCTAATGAAATGAAAAGAGCAAACTTTGAAGTGTGTTTTGACGTGCATGATGCAACGTGTTTTCAACCTGGTTTTGGATTCGAGGTCTTAAAATCTGCTCAAGGTGATTGTGTGTGTGTGTGTGCGTGGGAAGGCCTCATTGTGTGTGCGTTCCCTCCAAGTTCACCTCCAGACACAAAAACCTCACATTGATCTCTCTTTCGTTTTTCGCTCTCGGGCGAACACACACCCTCACCCATTGTCCCCGAACCACAACCTCTCATCTAAGTGGATCTAAACCACTTATCCCATCAATGCAGTGCATGTGTGTGCGCTTCTGTGTGTGTGTTTGTGTGTGTGTGTGTCTTACAAGGGACACTGGGATTTTTGTCATTGACCTAACCGAGACCACTGAGCATTGAACTGGAGGCCTGGAAAGCTTTTTATCCATCCATCCCTGGGTTTCTCTCCTCCTCATCAGTCCATCTGCAGCCTGCAGCATCTTGTTTTCTCCTCCACTGATTCAGCTCCTCTCTGTCTCTCACACAGGCATCACCCATCTTTCTTGAATCTTTCATATTCGTTTTGATTTTTTTCGTCCCCAGTATCACAGCTAGTGCTAATTTTGTCAACATGAAAAACAGACGCTGATCGCTTTTCTTCCACGACTA